AATGACGTGATCTGTGAAATACCGGTGTGGTGTTGGCAAAAAATTCTCCGATGTATAAGTTGTGTCCGAAGATACCAACTATATAGAATGTTGCAAGTTGCTCGGCTCAGTTGAATTACTATAGCTATTTTTCCATTTTCTACAGAATTACGTACCGAAGTCAGTTAGTTTCAGAAGAGTGCATTGTCTTCTAGGTCAATTTTTTGGCTGCATGGCAATTAGCTTTTATGATGTATGATTTAAGGAAAACCACCGTTCAAGTATAGTGAATGAAAGAATGTTTGATTATTGGCATATTTATTCCCACCCATGCATGCACGAATGTTTGAGGACATTATAGTCCTTCTAACTAAGCAGTTGGAAAAAAAAACTTCGACAAAGAAAAATGCAGATTCAAAACCTCTTCCTTCGACACATGGAAATTCACATGTTCAAGACCTCTGACCTCCTGCAACTTCGTCAGGTTCAGAGACATGGGTGAAACGCTTCGAATAACCAACACGATGGGCAACCCAGTTGTGGTCCTTTTCACCCCACGCCTTCATGCTCACCTTTTTGGTTGAATAAAACTTCATTCGAAAGTGCCAAAGCAAGTGGACACACAAACGCCAACCCAAAAGCAAGGAGGCAGAAAACAAAAACAGAGCCACACCAAATACCAACCCGAAAGCAGCAAGGCAATCCATCACAAGAAATAATAAAAGCAAGAAAGGAAGGGGGATGGTTGACCAAGCAATCCGTGTGCAACCAAGGCCTAGCAAACTTCTATGGAGGCCAACCCTAACGCGATTTGGGAAAAATGACAAAAAGGAGGCTGCTCACTTGGAATGACTATAATGTCCTCAACAAACGAAGCATGTGCCCCTCACATGCCTATTTAGATAGAAACAAGGATGAAATCTCCAAAAATCTAATGGAAGGTGGCTATTTTAATTGAATTCAAGTACTAAGTCGGCAGACAAAATAATCAAGGGGAGTAAGTTCGAAAAGCATAATAGTTCAGGAGATAAAACGGCTAAAAATCCTACAATATAAATAGCTTAATATATATATTTATTTTTTTTTTTTTTTTTTTTTTCTGCTAACGACAAATGATAAAATTGATAGCATATCACCACGTACAAGTCTTTTGATTAGGAATATGTTCACATGCAATATTAGGCCTATCACTTGTAAATTTTCTACTGTTCCAAATTAATATTCGCACTTATAAATATTAATTGTTATAATATATGAGTCAAACATACATTATTATTTGGCAACAAAACAAAAAACATACATTATTTATGTGCATCGAAGCATCTAATGACTGTTACGTCTTGTCAAGTTTGTCAAGTTTGTCAAGTTTGTCAAGTGGAGAATATACTATGCTAAGATCTGAAACAGTTTATTTTATATACCATTTATTTATTTTTGTTGGTGCCAACAAGTTGGCTAGCCAATCTATATTAAAAATGAACATGCAACATGCTTCTTTTTGTTAAAAGACCCACTCGAAAAATCCAAGCTTAGAATATGGTGGTTTACACAAAATACCATAAAATAAAATAAAAGGTCTTCCATCTTAAAATCTAGGTTGCTCCAGGGGTTTTAGGTTGTAGTTATATGTTTTTTTCTTCTTTTATCTTTAATGAAAAATTAACCTTAGTAAATACAGATATGGGCGTAGTCAAGTTGGCTAGAACGGATGCGCTCCCTCATTATGTACCTAAGTTCGAAACCTTTACTCTCTGTAATTTAGATTAAGTTAGATAGAATATCGCTCGTATAAAAAAAAAACTCTAGCATATCCAGCATATATATCGTTAATTTGGTTGTCATTTTCAAAGTACTACATTAAGGACGTATATTTATCGAATAAGATAAAGAGAACATGCACATAGCTTATCACTTCACATGAACCAAAGGCCACAATTGTAGATACCTTTTATAGGAATCTTTTGTTTTCTCATTTAAATTAGTACCGCCTTGTATGGTGACAGATCATATTCACACTCTTGAAGAATATTTAACTAAGTTTAATCAATCTTAAGTTTGAAATGAAAAATAATCAAAAGCCAAGTCATCATGTTTCCAAGCATATTCATTCACACAAGTTGCATATATATATTTGCACGGTTGTTGGTTGATAATCACTTGCAGCGATCAAAGTTTTCAAATGGATGAAAATTACGTTTTGTCATCTTGTTTGCCTTTCTTAATCTTGATTTTAAAATTTTGATTATGTACATTCTACTTGGTACTTTGATTCATTATGAAGAAACAGACAACGGCCCACTTGTTTTGACCAAAACATCAAATAAAGATCCCAATTTGAGGAACGTTAATGTCATCTTTCAATTAGAAAATCAGATCCCATGATTTAAACCTAATACGTGCCGACTAACATACTTCATTTTATTTGCGAACGGACTAGAAAATTGGTTCATCTCCACTAGTATCATAATCTTCACTATCAGGAAAACCTACATGGTCGTTGTCAACTAATTTAATCCACGTTTATTTAGACAAAACAAAAAATTTAATAAAAAGAAATAAACCAAAAATAATCTTAAAGTAGAAAGCAAAATCATTTATGTTGGTACTGTGATTAACCGAGCAACTAATTAAGCAAGATCAGCCACTCTGGATTTTGGACATCATTCACCACTTCGCATCTATTTATGTTATGACTAGTTTTGGACATCAACAATTTCCAAAAAGGACAACTCTTGATTTTGGAAACTAGAAACAACCAACCCTTGCATTTAGTGGCGGACCCACGTAGCAGAGGCGGCCCATGGGGTGTGCGAGGTGTGCGACCGCACAGGACCCCTAAAATTTAGGGGCCTCCAAATTTTTCCAAGTCACCCATTAAATTATCTAAAACATGAAAATAAAAATGAAATATTAAATATCATCCCACAACACCACATGCAAGGCAGCAAAACCAAAATTGAATTGAATATTAATTATCAACAAATTCTACGACTTAGAGAGTAGAGGCCCTAATTTAATTCATTTTCCTCTTCCCAACTCTCACGCTGCAACTCTTCTTTTTATTTATTTATTATGGTTTGAAACATGTGTTTTCCTCTTCCCAACTCTCAAGCTGCAAAACAATTCTAATATTCTTTTCTCTTTCAGTAAGTCTTTCTCACTCTCCTCCATCAAAATAAAGTCATTTCTCTTCAGTACCAATGTACCACCCTCTTCCATCAAATTTTGGATTGTAAAAACCCAAGTTTAGCCCTTTCCCCACAATCACAGTTCTTTTCTCCCTTCCTTATTCACATGAGAATTCACCAAGCATTGAAATTGAGAAATCAATTTATCAGCTCTGTGATTTGGAAGGGTGACTAAAGAAATTTTTCTGGGAAGCTCTTTCTGAAGTGTTCTTCCCGTGTCCGAAATTTTTGTTTCTATATAAATTTTTGTTTCTATATGGATTTTCTTTTTCCTACTTGTATATATAGGGCCTCGACATCTATATTTGCACAGGGCCTCCAAAATCAATGGACCGGCTCTGCCACGTAGGCACAAGGAGGTGCAGTTGCACCTCCCCTTGCTAGAAAATTATGTGGAGAGGCAGGAGTACGCCTCTCTTGTGGTGCCAAGGCTCTACCTCTGAGGTGTGTTGCAAGGCTTTTCAAAACGAGGAAGATGACTTGGGTTCATTTCTTTGCAACGCAAACGATGCTGTCTTCGAAAAACTTTTGTTTCCTTTCCTTCTAATGAAACGGGGAGTTTTGAAACAATTATAACTTTCAGCAATTTACTACTTTAACCTTTTTATTATCCCTCAGCTCAAAAAGCCTTTTTATTAGGCTTAAATACTACAGTGCTTCCTGGAAAATTGGTCAATTCTCACTTTACCCCCTCAAAGTTAAAGTGACCCACTTTGCCCCCTTGACCAATGTTTCGTGTTTCATTTTACCACTTTTCGTCAACGCCATTCCAAATTCCGTTAAACCAATGACGTGGCAGGGGTAGTTTGGTCCATTCAACTGAGCTGGGATTTTTCCCACCAATCTGAGAGTGTGACGTGTACATATGGACCCCACCTCTAACATCTGATATAGCTCCAACGGCTTGATTGCCTGCTGATGTGGAATTGGGGACCCATCTCTAACAAAACAACCACGACAATAAAAAAAAGAACTCAAAAATTAAAACAGAAAATTAGATTGGGGGGGAAAGTTGAGATTTGGGGATTTTAGAGCTAGGGTATGAGAATAAGGATCGAGAGAGGGAGAGCGCTCTCAGTTGGTTTCGACAACTTAAAGGCAAGAAGAAGCGACGCCAGACTCGACGACGATCCCCGTTTGGCGAGAAGCAGGAGCAAGGAAACCTGTGTACGGTAAGTGATTCTTCTGAAAAGGGACCTGTTTTCTGAAAAGGAATCTTGTCCTGTGACGTGGAAAAGAATCTTGACATGACAGTGATGCGCATTGTGTAGAAATTGATAGGGTTTTGGTCTTTTTGTGTTATGTGTTGTCGGCAGAAGAGGTTCTAAAGCAGTATACATTTCCTGATGTGGTCCCGTTTTTGTTTTCTTCTAGTTGGCTTTGAATCTGTTAATCGAACCATGGTTGTTGTCTTGCTTTTAATAAGTGGCTTAGAATACTATTTTGCTTTTGTTAAAAACAAACCCTTTTTGTTTCTATGTAGAGGACAAAGAATTGGTCACTTTTGAAGTGCATCATGGTGGCAGAATTGTGAAAAACAAACAAATAAGTGGTGTTATACTGGTGGGTCTGTAGGATATTTGGATTGATGTACTGTAGAGTATATAAATATGTTAGAGATGTGGAGCAAGTGAAACTGCTTGGGCACATAAGGAAAGTATCTCTTAAAGGAGTAGTAAATGATGAGTTACTGGATATAGACAGGGATGCTGAGCTGTTAAGTTAGTGTGACAAGGTACCACTTTCTTATAAGAGAGTGGTGCTGATTTATGTACAACACATTGAAAAGGAAGGTGTTGCAGTGAATGAGGATTCTAAAGAGGTAGTTGTGGCATGAATGAGGATAGTGAAAATATTGGGCCTTTTAGTGATGAAAATGAGGCTTCTACTGAAGGCATTGGGCCACTGAACAATGATAAAGAGGGTCGGCCTTTTACTGAGGATCATGGGCCTACTTGCAGAGTTGAAGACTGGGTTTCAAGTGATGATAATGGGCCCCTGAACAATGAGGGTAGTAGGGTTGATATAGGTAACACTGATATGGAAGACAGTGAAGGTAGTGAAGAAAAATACAAGGAAGAGGACCCTGATTTTGTTGACAGTGCTTATGAGCAGAGTGAAAATGAATGTGAGTTGTTGACAAAGGACGATAAAGCATTTGAAAATTATGTAGATCAGCCAGAAGTAGTTGAAGACCCAAATGCCCCTGTAGATGAAGATCGGGAGTCAATTGATGTAGCTAAAAATGATGTTGAGAGCTTGGATAGTAGCTCATATGATGAGGATGATGGGAACCATAAGAAAAGGAAGAAGAAACAGCCCAAATTTCAAGAATTTAGGCCTGAAACAGACATGCACAATCCTGTGTTTAAGCTGGGTTTAAGGTTTGCAACCACTAACCTATTTAGGAAAGCAATTATGAACTATTCAATTGTGAACAAGAGGATGATTAAATCAAATGCAATGATCGTGATAGGGTGAGGGCAGTGTGTGCAGGAAATTGGAAGTGGGTTTGTTTTGCTTCAGCACTGAATGATAATGAATGGGTTCAAGTGAAGAAATTGGTTGATAAGCATGATTGTGGGACAGTTGATCACAACTTTCATGCTAACTCAACATGGTTAGCTCAGAGATATGCTACTCAACTGTCTAGAAAGAATAATTGGGATATGAGAACTTTTAAGCAGCAGGTACAAGAAGATTTGTCTGTAATAACTTCTAAATCCCAAATATATAGGGTAAGGCAGAAGACAACATCCATATCTGAGGGGACTTATGAAAAACAGTATGAATTATTATGGGATTATGCTGCTGAACTAAGAAGGACAAATGTGGGTAGCACAGTCATTATCAATGTGAGTTGGAGGGTGAAAGGCGAAGGTTTCAGAGGATTTACATTTGCTTGGCTGCAGTTAAACAAAGGTTTTTGCAGGGATGTACGCCAATTATAGGATTTGAAGCTTGTCATATAAAGGGTCATCACCCTGGATAATTGTTATCTGCTGTTGGTGTGGATCATAACAATGGCATGTATCATATTGCGTATGCAATGACTGAGGTGTAGAATTATGAAACATGGTCATGGTTTTGTCAACTATTGGCAGAGGACCTTGAAATCGAAAACAGCGGCGGATATGTCTTTATCATAGACAAGCAAAAGGCTTGATTGATGCAGTAAATGATCATTTTCCAAACACTGAGCACAGACATTGCCTCAAACACTTAGAAGCAAATTTTTTGCTTGTTGGTCACAGAAGCTTGGTGTTGAAATTGCAAATGGAGAAAATCGCAAGGAGCACAACCATCCCATGGTGGGATGTTGATATGAAGAATATGAGATAGCTGAGTCAAGCTACATTTGATTGGGTGGCAGCCTTAGATCCATCACAATGGTGCAGAGCTCACTTTAAAACTCATTCCAAGTGTGACATCGTTTTGAATAATATGTGAGGCTTTTAACGGTGTCATTGTAGAAGTACGAGACAAACCTATTTTAAACATGCTAGAGAGAATTAGATATTATATTATGTTGTTGATGGCAACTAGAAGAGCATCTTGTGAGAAATGGAAACATGCTATTGGTCCAAGGATTTTTGGGATTTTGGAGAAAACAAAGAAAGAATCGGCTTGGTGCATACCAAAGCTTGTTGGGGAGAGTTTATATGAGGTCAAAACCATGATGGAAGTCAGGTTGTGGTTGATTTGGCAAGACATTGTTGTTCATGTAGGAGATGAGATATTACTGGGATCCCATGCAAGCATGCTTGTGCTGCAAAGGCCAATTGAATGGGGATCATATTGCTTATGTTGATGCTTGTTGCAAGAATGAGGCCTTTATGAGAGCTTATAGTCCAATGGTTCATCCAATGACAAGTGAAGACTTGTGGCCTAAGTGTCATAAGCCTCCTTTGATGCCACCACTTTATCACAAACAACCTGGGAGACCAAGGAAGAAGAGGATTAGGTCGGCAGGTGAACAACCAAGCAAATCTAATCATACAACCACCAAGTTTCAAAGGTATAACTTGGAAACCAAGTGTTCACTTTGTAGACAAGGAGGCCATAATAGGAGGAGCTGCCCTAAGGCAAAAGAAAGCAACAACAGTGAGGTTTGTATTTTCCAAAAAGACATTGCAATGCATTTTTGTTTTGGATCTTGATTATTTATTTATTTTGAAGTGATTCTCTTCTTATGTTAGGTCCCATGTAAAAGAAAGGTGAAGAAATCTGCCCAAGATACGACATCAACCAAAAGGGTTACAAGACAATCAAGAGCCAAGCAACTTGTAAGTGACTTTATTTTTTATTTTTATTTTATATTAAGAGGAAGAGGTATGAGATGTAGTTGATGTAAATTGGAATCCTTTTCAATTTTTAGGTGAGAAGAAGGTTGGAAATTAGTCAGTGTTCTCAAAGTCCTCATGGTTCTGAATCAGCCCAAGCTTCCCAAACTGCCCCAGCCCCAGCATCTCAAACTGCCCCAGCCTCAGCATCTCAAACTGCCCCACCTTCAGAAACTGCCCAAGTATCTCAAAGTGGCCAAGCTTCAGAAACTCCAAAAAAAAAGAGGTTTAAGTCTCCTGCAAAAAGGATGAAATTTCCCAACAAGAAGGATGGTTCTCAAACTCTGCAAGGCTCTCAATCTGTGCAAGGAACTGAATCTGTGCAAGCTTGTCCAGTTTCTCAAATTGGCCAAAGTTCTCAACCTGCCCAAACTTCTCAAACTATGCAAGGATCTTAACCAAGTGCAAGCTCATCACACCCTTTTGCCAGTGGTACAAGAAAAAAGAGGTTCAAATCTCCTGCCAAGAGAAGAAATTTACCAATCAGAAGGATTTGTTGGATGGTTATCAGTCTTGGAGATTTTGATCATGTGCAACTGTTTTGTGTTTTGTGAAGATGCCTCATATGAAAACCTTTTCATTCCACTTTTGTTTTGCATGTACAAGTGTTAAGGACAACCCTTTCAAATGGGGCTTTTGATTGAACTATTATTTTGCCAGTCCAACTATTAAGAGCTTTATTGGTAATGTTATAAACTGTGAGGATTTGATCAGTGTTATAAAACCCATGATTGTCTGTTATGAACTGTTGCAAGTGTTTGTTGTACTGTTGATTTGGTAATGCTTTTCATACCATTACATATGAGGTCAAAATCCAATAAGTAACTCCCACTTTGTGTTCAACAACCAAATTGCTTACATAAGTATCAATGCATTGTTACATCCAGTTGCAAATTCAAACCATGTTCCTCCATCATTACATAGCTACCAATACATGATATTTTACATACAGTTGCAAAATACAGACTTGTACAATCTGCCTAATTTCTCCATTGCAATGGCCACATTTTGTGCCAAGTTGTTACAGACATTGCCAAAACAACACCACCATTACTAAACCCCATGAAAGAATAAGCCAACCCCATTAACTTTCTTTCTCTTGCTTGACGATGCCCAACGTCCTTTCAAGTTCCTTCAATCTTCTAAGTAGCCAACTCACCGAAGCCTTCTCTCTAGGTGGAAATTCAACATTCACCCAAACAAAAAACCCACATATTTTTTTCCTCCTCTGCATCAACCATTAATACCAATTAATAACAAAATTTAACCGGATTCACAAACTTTCAACAACATAACTTACTCCTGATGAGTTTGGACAAACATGGAATCTTCGAAGTGGGTTCGCCTCTGTCCATGAAGTTTGTAGGCTAGCTATCTTCCCACAAAAGCAACGCGATGCCGCCACATCCAACTTTTCCCCTCTGTCAACTATTTCAGTCTTCATCTTCAATTTTCCTGGAACCCAACCTCTAATTTCTAGGGTTTTAGAGGAAGCCAATTGGGGTTTTTGGTTCAATGGGCAACTCAGATCAATTGGAATGTTGGAGCTATATCAGATGTTAGAGGTGGGGTCCACATGTACACGTCACACCCTCATATTGGTGGGAAAAATCTCAGCTCAGTTGAATGGATCAAACTACTCCTGCCACGTCATTGGTTTAACGGAATTTGGAATGGCGTTGACAGAAAGTGGTAAAGTGAAACACGAAACATTGGTCAAGGGGGCAAAGTGGGTCATTTTAACTTTGAGGGGGTAAAGTGAGAATTGATCAATGTTCCAGAGGGCACTGTAGCATTTAAGCCTTTTTATTATCCATGATAACCATGTGCCGTGTGGATTAGGATTCCCTTATATCTTATACTTGATAGAGAGCCCACAACCCCAAAATCACTTCCCAAATCTCCCAAAGCTTTCTTCAGTGGAAAAGTGTTCCTGGATTAGTCTTGAAGATAAGTCATTATTAATTAATATTTCTTGTGGCTTTTACAGCTTATTTTTCATTTTTATTTTCCCCCCTCCTTTTTATCAGTCGTATGGCCAATGGAGTATTTTATATTTTGGATTGATTATTGTGTTTAGATGACAATTAGTATTTATATTGATTATATTAAACTAATTATTATGCTTCAATATTATTAGTATATTTATAAATTTTTCTTGTCAAAACAATTGTTATCTCAAAAAGCTTACTCTTTAATGCTTTGATGTTTATGTGTTCGACTAAATGCCTCAAAGAGGCTTCGATGTTTTGTTTATAATTTTTTTTTTCTTCATGAATTATGAAATACATTAGTATTGTTTAAATTTTAAGGATATTTGGTTGTCTCTTTCCCGAAAAAATACTGACTCCATCACTGCTCGCATTTGATTGAAAAATAGTAAATTTAGGCACGAATTTGACAAAGATCCAAATGAAAGATTCCAAAAGTTCTTACATCATCCACATGATTGTGGGGTATGCTTGCCTAACATTTAGAATAGTGTTGTTGATATGACCTGTCATCAATCCGTACCTATTACACGTGACAGATAAGTACACAAGAAAAAAAAATTTAAGAAAAGAAATTAAAATAAGAAGAAAAAAACAAGGAAAAGAAAAAACTGGCAGGCATCAGCAAGTGGTTGGCAGACTGTAATTTTGGATAAAACGACAGATGAAATGAGGGGTGGCTTATCTATTTGTCAGCCCCCCCACTCCTTCACAGTCACATGGCTGAATAATCATGAACGATAATGACCACAAAATTAAATCATAAAAAAAAAAACATAAATTTGATGAATGATAATATAAAACTAGGAACAAGGTACGGCCGCCTCTTACACTGTTGTACGAAATTCATATGGTCATTAATAATCATATTATTGTTGTGTGGGAACAAGGCAAGTTGATGTGGTTCGTTCAAATATTTCGGCTATGTTTTTTGCATGGCTGTCTTTATTTGGAGATGTCACAGCTATATTTCTGTATCTTTTGCTTATAAAGCTAAATAAGATATTTCTTTGTTTCACACCTAAAAGATATGATTTGCGTGTAATTATACGTATTTAGAGTCTACATTAATGAAACGAGAGCAAATTTTCAAGGGTAGATGAAAATATTGATGACACATTCTGACCTCGATCTCAATTAGGTTAGGTATGTATAATTTCAATTATTTGTATTAGGTATCGTAGTTTAGTGTTAGGTTTCAATTATTGAGCAGATAATAAATGCTCATATTGACTCTTATTCTCCGGTGTCACTGCTCTCTTTTTTCATCTCTCTCTTTACGTATGTTGATTAGAATTAATGAAGAGAGAAATAAAAAGAAAGCTGCAGCGACAACGGATATGTAGAGAAATATTTTTCCACCACAGGACTAGTATTCAACTACTTTTCCCTATAGTGAGGAGAATACGTAGGTGAGATTTGAGTTGAAGGTGACATTTAGATGCTTTTCCAAACACATACAATAATTGCAAGCAACGGACAGGAATGAGAGGCGAAATTCCAATTGACATCTTCCTCGATCGACTAGCTTTGTTGTTTTCCATGTCTTAATTACTTTCTTTTTATTTTAGCTAATGTGGTAATCAAGTTGAACTGTTGAAAACCGATCAACATGGTATTGAATATTGATATGGGCAAACACAGCAAATATATAATAAAGAGCAGCAAGAATTGGTAGGAGAACAACTTAAGTGACATATATATACATATACATATGTAGCAGAAGAGTTGCAGCAGCAAAGCAAGGCAGGTTATGATGACAGATTATGAAGCATGAGCTATAGCTTACAGTTGAGCAGAAGCCAACATAACAGTCTAGTCAGAAATCAGATTATAGTCGGCTAGGTAGGTTAATGTGTTGATCTACTTGTTTCTAGGAGCCTAAGAGGTGGAGGTGGTTGCAACTTTTGTCCGAAATTAATAGGCCATTGAGTGTATATAGATAAGCAATTGGATAACTTGAGCTTGAGGAATTTTTCTATTCAAAATAAAATAAAAACTAATGTATCAATGAATCTCAATGACTATAATTCGAGAATACGATATGAGAAATTATTTGGTGTATCTGATATATTGCGTCAAAACGTTACTGTGTAGACATGTTGGTTTATTTATATGAGCTTTTCATAGATAGTAAATATATTGTAGGAGTGGTGCTTTGGGTGAATTTGAGTCAGATTTAGTAAATCATGACTTAGAAGTGAACTTAGCTAGGCTGCTGAAGATCCTCTTTGAGACAAAGAACCTACCTCAGGCAAACATTTATAACGATGGATCCAAACATGTCGATATTTGAAGCTTTCAATTTCAAATATGCGGGGTTGTGTTGTGGTTCATACAAAATATAAGCCCAAAATCCCCATTAGGTGATTGCCGTACAAAACACCAACTGAGAACCATTACCTTGGGCCTGAATTTACTATGGAGGCTTTCGTGTAGTTTTCAGCCTGTGGCCCTGGCCTCAACTAAGAAGAAGGCCTAACTTGGGGCATCGTTGTGGGCTTTGACTTAAATTCACTTCTCATTCACCCAAAAAAAAGAAAAATCTTATGTGATTGTATATTGTGTTAAACCTTATCAAACATGGAAAGTTGTTGATCCCTCACTTGAAGACCCAAATCGAACCGGGGGTAAATACTCTTTATAATTTGAACTACAAGCTACTTGCGAACCGAACTGTTATTAGCTTCCCAAAAATATTTATCCTGCACTCACATGGTATAACAACATAAAGGAAAAATTCTATTCGAAGGAGTGCATACTGGCGGATTCCGAAATTTTTTTAGCGAATGTGCAATTTTGAAAGACTAAAAGCTTTATTATTAAAATAAAATAAAATAAAAAGAGGAAAAGCACATGTTCTTCTTCTTCTTCCTCCTCTGTATAAGTTATATTTTCTTTCTTTCTATTATTAAAAGAAAAGGATGTGCTAATTAAGTCATGTTCTTTCATTATAAAAATAATTTGGTGAGGAAAGAAAAGAAAGTGTGTATGCGTTTAAGAAAAGAAGTTGAATTGCCGGATTAGAAACTATCTTCACCCAACGATTAATTTAAGCCAAACAATTAATTTAAAAAGAAGAAAAAGAAAGCTTGTTAAAAGCCCTTTTGTTTTATAGCCCTTTATCATTTTTTAAGCAGCCCATATATTAGAGCCTGTTAAAGCCCATAATTTTTTTTTTTCTTTTTTAACATTGGTCCAAACACGTCAATTTTGTCCATGATGTTGTTGTTTTTTGTTTTGTTTTTTTTTTTTTTTTTTTTTTTTTAAATGGCACTGCGTGTTGTTGGTTGAGGCAATTCATCAAACACCTGGAGCGCACCATGAAACCTCAACAGAGGAGCAATATGCATTACCTAAAGAGAATTTTCTTGGAAGGGGCGGTGCAGCTACACTTCCTTGCACTTTAATAGGTCCGCCAATGAGTGCATGATGACTTTTTTAGAATACAAATCAAGAAAATTCTTATACGAGAAATGAAAGCTTGAACTGGAAAGAGTTTAGAGAGATTAAACTTCATTAAGCGACACAAGTTCGATAGGTGATTGTACCAAGCAAAACCTCTTACCTTGTCCATATACTTCATTACTAAACTAATCCAGTAATTAGGTTAATTATCCAATCCAACTTGGGTACGAGTTCTTCTATAAGTCATGCATGTTATTAATATATATATATATATATATTTTATAGAAGTAATATTCTACTTTAATTTAATATAAACTAAACTACAGGAGGGGAATTCGAACTCGAATGCAAATGTGGGAAGCACATCAATTCTAGCCAACTTAGCTAAAGCCATGTCTGCTTAATATTCTTTTAAGTGTGGTAGATGCAGTCATATTTGAATACATATATAGAGTCTCTTTCATAATTTTGAGCATGCATTGCCTAATAATCCACCTATTTTCGAAGTCATTATAGAATAATAGGTAACGCTTAACGCATGAGATTCAATTTTTACAATATAGAAATCACCAAACCAGAGGCTATAGCCCATCAGTTTAGGGGTGGCTCCACAAGTGTTAACTTCATTTCTATTGGATAATGTTTTTTTTTAGGGGTAAGTTTCAATTGGATAATGTCTCTTGTACGTTTCTATAATTTAACAAAAAAAAATTACTCAAGATTTATGACAGGTTTACTTATTAAGAATAAGAGAAATCATGAATTGATGAGGAACTTAGGAATAAAAAGAATTAAAATTAGATCAACTATTCTTTTAATTATTTCATTTATAATTTTGAGGATATTTAATTAATCAAGGAATGAGTAGTCATGAATTGAAATCATTTTAATGTATATTCCTAATAAGTAAATATGGTAGGCAATAGGACTGGGAATGGGTTGAAAGGTATTGAACATGAGATGGTTGGTCTGTCGTGGCATCATGAATCATGAGGTGGGTCATGCACCGAATGTGATTTTGGTTTAGGGAAGCATTTGCTCTCTCTCTCTCTCTCTCTCTCTCTTTTTGGGTGTGGGTTTGAGCATCTGCTCCTAGAACCAATCTCAAAAGCTTAGAAAGTAACAAATCCCAGAACCCACAAAGCACTCAAAAACTACATTGGGCCCCAGGTGAATGGGGTATTAGAACAGGTGAGCTAGCTGACTCTTATCCCTGTCACTGTTAGCTGCTTTGGATAAGCCTAAAAGAGCCCACCATACCATACCAAACCATATCTCAATTTCTTTTTTTAATTAACATCAAAATCTCCTATCTGACATATCAAGACAATAAATATATATATATATATATATATAAACTGACTGATAAGCATAAAAAATATTTTTTTCATTGTCTCAACTCAAGGTGTATACTCATCACTCTTCTTAATACTTGACACGTGTTCATAAGTATAATAATGGTTAACTTTTTACTAAAAAACAAAAAAGCCAGCTAATTCCACACTTGCTTTGATTGTTTCCTTCTAAATTTGTTCAAGCACTTTTATTGTAAATATGAGTTTGTTCTAAACATGCTTTTAAAGAAATTAGAGATGTTAGGCCTTGAAACTCAAGATTGATGGAACAAAACATTTGGATTAAAGTATAATTTTATTATTGTTTTAAGTTTTTAATTATAAAAATAACACAAATGTGAGTTAGATCAGTTGGACAGAATAGTGAGCTCCTCCCTTTTCGCACAACAAAATCGAAAATGGACAGCTAACCTAGTTAGCCTCTTGTCTTTTTCTTATGATAATGCCATTCCAATTAACTTTTCCATTTCTCTCTTTGTCCTCCCTTGTCAAATAGCCAGTATCTCACGCAACTCCATCCCTCATTAGAAAACAAAAGATGAACAGAATTATCCAAAAAATTATTAAATTTCCCATAGCATGGTCCAAAAGAGCTTCAATTTTAACAACTACAAGTCAAGTCAAGCAGCTACTGCTCCCACAGTATTTGCAAGCGAGAAGGTCGGCAACCAAAACAGCTTCTATCTTTATTTGGGTCACTGTGCAAGAAACTCTTGAGTCGAAATAAGACAAAAGGATAAGAATATCTTGAAATACGAGTACGAGAAGCTTATCCATCGACACACTACTAAGATCCACGTCACCACAGCTATATAATACTTATACTCCCAAGTTGCTTTACTTTCACCAAAAGAAGGTGACCTTATAAATAGATAAAATCCCCCATTTCTAATCTCCTTCCTTGACCTAAAAAAGCAAGAAAGGAAAAAAAGAAGTGTATTCAAGCAAAGAAGTTGGCTGATTGATCTGCATAGCATAGTTTCTTTTTTTCATCAAAATGTTGGCTATTTTCCACAAGGCTTGTGCTCACCCACCAGAGGAGCTAAACAGTCCTTCTTCTCAGAATGGAAGCAAGAAGCCTAAGCTCCCAGAAGAGACTCTCACAGAGTTCCTCAACCACCATCCTCACAACTCCTTCTCCATGGGCTTTGGCCGTGCTGCAGTGCTTGCTTATGTCAAGCCAGACCAACCCTTTTACTCCCAACACCAGAGGTACTAATTCTTCATTCATAATTTTCAAATTTATGCTAACTGGCTCTAGCGCAATGAAAAATGACCTTAACTTGCAGATTAATGATTTAAAGTTTGAACCCTTTAGTAGTGTGTGGAAGAACCGTTTGTAGTTTAGATTATCGCTTATATTCACATTAAAAACTTCAAATTTAATTGATCTTAATTTAAATTTCCATACTATTGTATAATATATATATATATATATATATTTATTGTTTTGTGTGGGTGGTTTGATCAATTTTCAGGTTGTTCTGTGGTTTTGATGATATATACTGTCTGTTCTTGGGGAGCTTGAACAATCTGTCTTTGCTAAATAAGCAATATGGTCTAACAAAGTGTACCAACGAGGCCATGTTTGTGATTGAAGCTTATAGGACCCTTCGTGACAGGGGTCCCTACCCAGCTGATCAGGTTGTGAAGGATCTTGATGGAAGCTTTGCTTTTGTTGTCTATGACAGCAAGGGTGGAAATGTCTTTGCTGCACTGGTATGTGTTCTTAGTTTCTTGTGCAGAGCAAATGTTTTTAACAAATTGGACCCGAAAGTTTATGGATCATTTTAATTTGGATGAAATTCATAAATTTAATGTCATGTGATTGTAGGGTTCTGATGGTGGAGTGCAGCTTTACTGGGGTATTGCAGCTGATGGATCTGTTGTAATTTCTGATGAATTAGAGGTCATAAAAGAGGGGTGTGCTAAATCATTTGCTCCCTTCCCAAAAGGTACCTTTAATTAATTATGTTTTAAGCTTTAATTATTGCAGAAGTTGCTTTAATTAAAATCAAGGGTTGTGATTAATTGATTGTTGTGCAGGATGCATGTTTCATAGCGAGGGAGGTTTGATGAGCTTTGAGCATCCAATGAACAAGATGAAGCCAATGCCAAGGATAGACAGTGAAGGGGCCATGTGTGGGGCCACCTTCAATGTAGATAAGTATACGAGGGTCAACAGCATTCCTCGGGTCGGAAGTGAAGCAGACTGGACTGAGTGGGCCTCCCATTAGGGGGACAAGTGTCATTGTGCTTTGCTTTGTCACAGTGACCATGGCTGAGAAAATGACTTGCTTCTAATCTTTTTCGTTTGTCCTTTGATATTTTTCCCTTTTTTCTGGTTGTATTTTTGCTTATTTTCTATGTGCGAACAAAGATATAAATATTGGTATGATCTTCAGAAGTTGAGTGTGTTATATTTTGGCATGTTATCCCTTTGATTTTTATTATGAAAACACGAAAATAATGTCAATTAAAATATTCAGACTGAAATATAAGGATAGAAATACCCCCGTGATTCCTGATTCATCCGAATCTGCATTATCCCTCAAAGAAAATATTGTGCGCGCACTTTTACTTAGTCAAATGAAAACAAAACAAGGCCTAGTAAATAATTTGAATATGTAACCAATCGGATGTTAGTTGGATTCACTCCAGTCTTTTAGTCTTTAGTGTGTTCTCAAGTAATCCAGAGTTCATTCAAACCACCCATAATATCTGTGTGTGTGAGTTTTCCCCCCTCCCCATTCCTGAGTTTGGCGAAGAAAAAACAAATTGAACATGTAGAGTGAAAAGATTTGAAAATGCAACAAAACCATGCTTGCATATGTATGTAAAAGCTAATAATCCAGCTGGGACAGAATTAATATTTGAAAGAGCATGGGCAGTTAGAACCAAAATCTGCCATTTCCATGTATGGGATACAACATGACTTGTAAATCATAATTCTGTTTTTCGAAGAGAAGAACAGGAGTTGAAAGTTTTCATTCCTTCCACATCTCAGAAAACTCATCAGCCTCAAGTGGGTTGTCAAGCTCATGCATTTTTCTCCTTGTCTTTGCCTTGACTTTCTTCACATAATGCCCAGCCTTCTTCTTTTTCTCCAGTGCTCGAATCTGATAGCATTACAAATATTCCATCAGTATAAGAGTAAAACATTTGCATATGGAGAGAGAGAGAGTTCCCAAGGAACCTCGACCCTAAACCCTAAACCCTAAAAATTAACTGTTAATTGCTACTCATCCATGCAGACATAAATAATTAGACATAACAAAATCAAGAATTCCAGATGCAAACAAAAAATTATATAAAGATATCTCACCTGATTAGGTGATATGTAAAATGGATTCTCATATAATGTCGGTCCTCCAAAGCTGCCGCCAAATATCTTGATAGGATTCAAACAAAATCGTGGTCCAACCTATATACAACCAGTTCTCTGAGTTAAATTGTCATCACAGATACCCTAATATAAAGAACCGGAGCAAAGTATCACTACGAACCTCAACAAGGGTCATTTTATCTAATCCCCCTCGAGCTATTTTATCTGATTCATTATGTGGAACCGATATCTGCAATTTAAAGGGGGGGAAAGGTCAATAAGTATGCAGAAGTAGTGTAAGCAATTTTTAAAGAAAAAAATAATATGACTAACAAATATACGTGACCTGAGCACACACAAACATAATGTTGTATTAAGCGAATGTTACACAACATGGTATGAGGCAAATCTTAATTCTGCAGTTATTTGAAAATCTACACTACCACTCTGTTAGCTACTGTAGAGTATGGATGGTTAGTAATGTGTTCTTTTATTAGCGTATTCTATTCCAGAATCTGCACTACCAAATTTTGATATGCTACAACCTCTGAACTAGGGTGCCATCAAAAAATTTCATGCAGAAATTCAGAGTGACACTGTAGGCAGTCCTTATCAGCTCAGAGTATAATTAGTTAAAACCACTAACACACAAGCATCATCAGTGTTTTACAAGAAATTCAGACTGACACTGTCGGCAGTCCTCATCATGCACTTCCCACCCTTAAAAATTTATCACAACTATATCCTAGCATAAAATTACACAACTTTTAAAAATCCAAAAAAGCAATGAAGGCTGTGCCTTGGGTGAGTGAGGCCAGCAGCAGCTGGCTTCAAACTGGAGGCCAGAGTTGGGCTCCCAAGGGAGGGTAGTGACTGACCCCAGAAGAAAAATACCATGTTACTCAACCCATGGCCACATCCATTTAAAGTAACTACAAATATTAGGGATAGATAGGATTTAGGAGTATGGGAATGATGGGGGATTGGTTGAGTAAGATGGTATTTTTCAAAATTTGGTTTTAAGTGGGAGGGTAGAATTTGGGGTGGCAATAGTACCACTTTAAATTCATAGGGCTTATTCCCCCTTCTTATGCCTACTATCCACTTAATCACACGTTTGATAACTTTTAAATTACCCACAAAAATTGTGGTAACCACTGGTTATTGGTGATGTATGCATTACTGTCAATTCTTCATACTCAAATTGGTAACTAAGAATTTCAGAACTGTTATGTTGAGGTGGCTACTAAAAGGCAGTGATCTTGCAAAGAGACAGATAAACAAATTTTGACAAATGACTAAAATCTAAAGCAAACTACCAACTCTTGATACCTTCATACATGGATGCTTGCTTAATAATACATCCAACACGGAGATGAGGTCATGCTACTATGTTGCAAGTTAAAAGTTCTAAAAATAAAAGGTCATACATAAAACACATATGAGCATCTACGCTGCCTGCGCAACGGCAACACTGGCATTTAAACTCGAAAAGGTTTAAAGCTGCCACAGTTTATATTTTGGGCAGAAAATATAAAGGACCCAAAATCAATTCTAATATTCAATAATAAGATTAAGTCAGACCACAACTGTCTTCAACAAAAAACTGTAATCTACAAAATCAGTACCTGATAGTTTCGGAACCAAATGTGGTCATCAACGATAGAGAAAACAAAGACATGATCATGATAGGGCTTAGATTTCCTGTGCTCCTTAGGAATGCCAAATATCTGAGTATAAAGTTTAATAGGAAAAAATAAGATATACTGTAGGACAAATTCCAAACAATATCTAAATTAACAAGGCAAACAGATCACAAGCAACCAAGCAGGGCATAATCAGGATAATGTTTATTGCTACATAAGGAGGAAGCAAAATAGACATGCCTGAGTGATCATTTCCTTCAAAAGCTTCCAGTGGGCATCTTTATCAAAATTGGATGAAAAAGTCAGAATAGGTCGTGACCCTTTTAGATGATTTCCAGTAAGCTTCAATTCCTCCATTGTGTGCACTGAAAATCATCAAACAATTTGCATTGATCACAATGCTTCCCAAATTTTTTAACAACAGATGAGATAAGCCAATCTTTCTTGATAATCAACTTAATGCAAAATTAAAAACAGTAGCAACATTACCAGCATTCACTAAGAATTTCACAGATGGCCCATTAGGACATTTTGACATCCACAGATAAAGATCTTTCCCCTTCCTGCACTGTAATTCAGAGAGTCCCCAAACAAAAGTACAAATCAGCACATAGAAAACCAAAGAAAACCAGCAACCTCAATGTGCTATTATCCCTATCTCAAACACCCAAAATGTCCTAAACATAGAGTTGTATCAACTGCTTAACCACTGGTAAAATTATCAGTACATATGTAAATGGTGTCACCGACTAAAATCTTAACACTATCATTTATTAATTAAAAAGGGACACATAGTATTAAATAATATCAAATAACAAATGCTAAACCAGGTAAGAAAGAAATAAAAAGAAAACTGACCTCAAAAAACATGCAGGAAGAGCAACTCTTTAGCTCGACCAGCTCGTTAAGAGTTGCGCCGTTACTTGACTTAGACTCAACTTTATTGTCCTTCTTACAATGAGGCAATAGGTCAACCACATTCAACATCAAATGCCGATACCTACACATATATAATCATTCATATAAGCATAAAAAAAAACATATCTATATATACACATATGGATACAGACATACATACAAATATAAGCCAAAATTATTAGCATAATCATTCATCACAGGGAAAATCTATAAGGTTATTGTAGAAACCCTCTTTGCTGTTGGAAGTTCATGAACTGTCCAGTACACTCCAACCATTTTTAACCAAATTTGATAATGGATAGAAAGATAGCATATCCATTATACACTACCCCCTTTCTTCTTTTGTTCCACTTTCAATAAATTTGGTATTTTACCCTCATCTTTCCTCTCTCAACCAAACCTGTGACCTCCCCACACCTCTACCCCTCTGACCTCCCCAACTCTCACCAAGTTGCACGATGAGTATGAACGAATCATTCTAGTTTTGAATAAATTGAGCAACGAGCTAGAAGCAGAGAAAAAATGGAACTCGATTTCGACCTGTAGCTAATCCGACGAGAACAAGTAACCAAGACCTTCTCTTTGTTCCTAAAGAATGTCGGTGATTCAGTTTGGTTTGCTTGGTCATCCTTCTTCTCCTTCCAACCGGAAAGCGTTCGCTTAGGCCTCTCTGGAGCGACCTCCTCCTCCTTCTTTTCTAGAATCGCAGCCTCAGCCTCGCTGTGCTTTCTCTTCTTCCCCATTACTTTTTGTTGAAAAATCTGATTTTCATTACAAGAAGAGTTAGCTGCAAATATATGCAAACATACTTGGGAAGCAAAACCCTAATTAGGATTTTAGGTGAGCAATACTGACCTGAGAGAGTGGGGGGCTATCGGAGCGGAGGCTTCTGCAAATGAGATGAGAGCAATAAAGTCAGGGTTTAGGGTTTACAAGGATAGTGATGACTGACTAGAGAGAGAAGGAGCGGGCGGGTAGGTTATGTTGTGCGTTTTGGGTGTGGGTTTGCCTTTTGGATGGAACCATCATCAGATCATTTTTCTGGCCCGGCCCAAGTCTGGTTTTTCTCATTTTATTGGCCCAGCCCAAGTTTAGCTTCTATCTAGACCTTTCAAAATTGTACACGACCTGTAAACACCATACAAAACGTCACGAAAAATTACTGCTTCGGGTTGGGCTTTATAGGATGGGAAAAGTCTCGGGTTTGAATTCTCACTGAAGCTCCGGTTGATTCTTTTTAAATGTAACATTTGGAAGAAGGCCATTAAACATATGTAGTTTTAGAAAGTAAGTGGAATATGAGATTTGATGTTGTCAAGTTCAATTGTAATAATCTAGTTCGTGAGATAAGTTGACATATGTTGTCATAGGATATTATTTAATTATTTTGAAGATTTTGTTTTAGTCCATGCAAGATTTGAATTTAAAATCTCTTATAAAATTAAAAAGACAAATATCACTCTCTCAAATGTTAGCACAATTGTCCAATTTTGTTTCCATAATATATGACTTCCTTCGCATTATAGCTCCTAATCTTCGAACAATTTTTCGAAACGTTATAGCGTTATGTGGTGTTATTTTTTCACTGTATTAAGTACGGCAAGAAATTAATTTCTTATTCTCAACGCTCAACCACTGTCTGAGAATACCCGCGAACCAAACGCCAACTAAGCTGCAGCCTGCGCACGTGTAATTAGTTCGAGAGAGCTCGAGCACAGCCTACACTGGCAGCGGTGAACCCAGTGAAGCAAAGTAACGCCACCGGTTGTCCTTGACTCTGTGCGTAAGCGAGAAATGGCGGATCGATTTTTCCCGAACGAAATGCTAGACTTTGTGGCAGAGGCAGCAGCAGACGAGGCAGCCTCTGTAAGGCCCAAAGACTCACTCACAAAGCTCCTCTCCCTTCCTTACGAAACACTCTCAGACATGCTCAAGAGCTCGGCTTTGGACCTCAAAGAAACGGTACTCACCCGAACACACAAAAGGATGATTCTTTTCACTTAATTTTTTCTCTTAATTTTCCATTTATTTGAGATTTTAGAACCCCCAGCATACAGATTTGATATATTTTTTCTCGCGAATTATAGTTATGGTTTCTTGGTTATTGTAAATTTTAGAGATACCAACTTGAGAAAGACTTGGTTTTTTCTCGTTTTTCAGTAAATTTTGGGTTTTGGGTTTGTGGGTTGTTAGTATTTGGGTTTGTGGGTTGTTAGTATTTGGGTTTTGAGAATGCCATGTAAGTGATTTGGGTTTATGTTTTGGTTTTAGGTGGTGAGGCAGACATGGGGATTAAGTGGAAAACGTGTGGAAGATTATACTTTGTACACAGGGGTTCTTGGGACTGCCTTCTTGGCCTTTAAAGCCTACCAAGTCACCAAGAATGAAAATGATCTTAAATTGTGCTCTGAAATAGTTAAAGCCTGCGATTCTGCTTCCAGAGGATCTGGGTACTCTCTCTCTCTCTCTCTCTCTCTCTCTCTCTCTCTCTAAGCATGCACCTTTGAGTTTGAATCGTCCTTGTTTGTGACATATAATAGGTAAATTTAGCTTTTTTAGTGGGTGTGAAGATGAATTAGCTAACCTGCCATGAGAAATGAGCAATTCTATGGAAGGCAAACAGTATTCAGCTTGTCCATGTTTGAATTACAAAATATAGATAAACTAAGGTTGTGTTTCATTTGTGGGCTTGCTTCATTAGCGTAAACCTCACTTGTGTGTCACCTTGCCCTCGTAAAAGCAGTACCAGATCATATAGCTTAAGTGATGAGCCAGAGGTTTTTTTTTGTTATTCTGTTAGTATTGGTGGTGGACTGGTATCTGTTTTAAAGTTTATGAATAATATCGAAAGTAATACTTCTAATTGCAGTTTAACATAGCTTACCGACCATGAGGAGTAGGGAGTAGTTGCATGCTTCTAGAATTATTGGATGTCGTTACAGTTCTGGCATCCTTGCTCTTGGGGAATGAGTAATAAAACTTGAGTAGCTTTGTTATGTTCTGCATGGGCTTGCAGGCGTGTGTCATTCACATGTGGGCGGGCTGGCGTTTGCGCCCTTGGTGCTGTCGTGGCAAAGCATGCCGGTGATCAAATGTTACTTGACCGCTACTTATCACAATTTAAAGAGGTGGTTCACAGTATCACTTATTTCTTGCACTTAAGACACTGTTCCTCTTAAAAATTGGCCTTGGTTGTTTGCCTCTATTGACATTCTATTTTGCTCTTAAGAGCAGATCAAGCTGCCAAGTGATCTTCCAAATGAGTTATTATATGGTAGAGCTGGGTTCTTATGGGCCTGTTCATTCTTAAACAAGCATATAGGAAACGGGACAATTTCTACTACACGCATGGTAAGACAATTTATCCTTAAATCTTTCTTCTGATTGGTTCTGAATACACTGAATTGTTTATCCATTTATTCGCCTAGTAATTTGTGTAGAGATCAGTTGTGGATGAAATTATAAAGGCTGGTAGACAATTGGCTAAGAAGGGACGAAGCTCATTGATGTATGAATGGCATGGGAAGAAATACTGGGGTGCTGCCCATGGACTGGCAGGGATTATGCATGTTTTGATGAGCATGCAACTCAAACCTGATGAGGTGGAGGATGTTAAGGGTACTCTCCATTACATGATTAAGAATCGTTTTCCCAGCGGCAACTTTCCTTCAAGTGAAGGAACTGAATCAGACCGTCTTGTGCACTGGTGCCATGGTGCTCCTGGAGTTGCTCTTACACTTGTGAGAGCAGCTGAGGTAATTATAATCCGGCTGATATTTTATGAAAACTTGTTGGACTAAAGTTTGGATATTGTAGTTTTGTGTGGTAAATTGAGGCGAAGAACTAAATATTGCTTTAATTCTGTGAGACTGGAAAGGCTTCCCCCTCCTTTTGTGTTTTCAAAGCAGTGTGGTTGGGAGTACTGCATAGTAAAATCAATTGAGTGGGAGTACTGCATAGTAAAATCAATTGAGAAACTTACTCAGACAGATTTTTATTTTTATTTTCGCATCGTTATTGAAAACTGAAATAATACAAAATGAGATAAAAGTGGTGGGTTTCTTGCCATTACATATTATTAGTAACTTCAGTAAAATATGGTCTTTTCTTGTAGTATACCTAAATAATTTGATATATACGTTTTGTTTATGGATGTGGTCTGCAGTCCAAACATGATACTTTTTTGTTTTATGGTTGTATGCCTTGGATGGTTTTTTCAACTTTAATAATAATCTATCAACGTACTTGCGGTGTAGTTTACTCTTTGGTCTATGCATTTTATTCCATTAGGTTTTTGGAGACAAGGAGTTTCTGCAAGCTGCCATAGATGCAGGGGAGGTGGTGTGGAACCGGGGTCTGCTAAAGCGAGTTGGCATTTGTCATGGCATCAGTGGGAACACTTATGTGTTTCTTTCACTCTACCGATTAACGGGTAAGGTGGAATACTTGTACAGAGCCAAAGCATTTGCTTGCTTTCTACATGATAGAGCGCTAAATCTCATATCAGAGGGGACGATGCATGGAGGAGATCGGCCCTATTCCCTATTTGAAGGTGTTGGAGGAATGGCTCATCTCCTTTTGGACATGACTGAACCATCTGAAGCGCTGTTTCCTGCTTATGAACTTTAAACTCCTTGCATGTATTAAGTTAGAAGAAGTAAATGCATCGCATTTACTTGTTTACGACATTCTGATACCTTTTGTGTTGTAAATATTTGAAGCAAATAAGATAAATATATAAAAGCAAAAAATAAAAAATAAAAAAATTGTAAGAAATGGGGTGATCTGCACTTTGCAACACAGAAGTGAGTGATTTTATTGACATTTGTAACACACACTAGTCATCCACACGAGAAAATTGCCTATGACATTACAGCAGTTGATTTCAAATTCTGCACTGTAGGGGCCTCATCTGGTGACATCTTCCTCCTCCAAGGCAAACATTTGTTGACAAAAACATTAAGCTTCTGAACTAGGCCAAACCCACAAGCTTCTCACTGACTTCCCACACCTTGCGAGCCTTCTCTGCATCACTAGCTTCTCGGGAGAGTTGGTTCTCGAAGGAAGCCGAAGCCTTGTTCCAGCTCCAGTAGACTCCAGACTTTGTCAAGCTTGGGTCGCTCACAACCTAAGTAATCAGAAGCAACCAAGTGAATTCATGCACAAGAGAAATAAATAAAAACATATGCACCGTGCCATTTTACTATAGAAGCTCTCTTTATGCTCCTCCAGTTCTTACCTGAGCAAGTCTCTTTCCGGCTTCTTCTTCTGAGACATAGCCCTTGGTGATGTACTTTTGGAATGGAGGGAACAGAAGTCTGAACAAGGGAATGTGCTCTCTAAACAGACCAGTTGTGGCAATGCAACCCGGGTAAAGGGAATTAAAGGTTATTCCGGTGTCCTCGTGATAGCGCCTGTGGAACTCCTGCATTGTGAGCATGTTGCAGACTTTGCTGTCCTTGTAGGCCTTGGCACCATCAAAGTCTCCACCATCGATCATGGACGAGCTGTTTAGACCGTTTAAGCCCCCTGCAAGTCCCCTCAAGTCCCCAAGGTTGGCCTTTGGAGGTACATTACCGGCCAAGGTGTTTGTGTTCCCTGTACCATTTCACAGAAACAAGCAACACTACAAACTTTAGCACATATTCTAGAAAGCAGAGTACATATTGTACAAGAACTATTTTTCTTCATTTGAATAAAGTACCTGTAATTGAGCCAACAATGATGAGCCTCCTTGATGGGTAGTCAGATTTGTTCAAATCTTCGAGCAGCAACCGCGAAAGAAGGAAGTGCCCGAGATGGTTAGTCCCAACACTGAGTTCAAAGCCTTCAGCAGTGAATGAAGGTTCCTTAGCAGTTGGCTGATAAACAGCAGCATTGCACACAAGCACATCAAGTGGCCTCTCCGATCGCCTGAAGTTATCGACAAATTGGCGCACACTGTCGAGGGAAGCAAGGTCTAGATGCATAATTGTGTAGTTTTCTTTGGGCATGCCAGCGGACTTGGCAGCTCTTTCAGCCTTGAGGAAATCCCTGCAGGCCATTATAACATGCCATTTCCCTGATTCAGCCAAAGCCTTGGCTGTGGCTAGACCCAGTCCAGAGGAGGCACCAGTGACCACCACACTGCCCTTTCTGAGAGTTTTCTTCCCCTCTGATGCACCCTTGTTGATTGCTGGGGATGCTGTGGCCGCTGTCTGGGCTCTGACAGGCTTGAATTCTCTCTGTAATTAAAACCATTATTTTTTATCCACACAAAATTCAGTGAATCATTCAAATATAAATTAACAGAAGCCCATGCTCAGCAAGTAATTAGACATACTTCTTTTGTTTTTGGAAATAGCTAGACATACTGTTTTTCTTTTTGGAAATTAACAACCAATTGCCTCAACTCATCATTTATAGCAAATGACAGATGAGAAGCTTAATGAACTTCAGGATGTTTTTCTTTTCTTTTTTTTTGGCAGAAGAAACACATTTTCTATTCTGGAGAACAAATTATAAACAAGGGAAATTAAGAGAAAAAATAATGCAATATTTTCCTACCTTGAAGCTTAATGCAACAGAGCTGAATTCAGCCTTTAGATTGTCTGAGAATGAGACTCCAAACAGGCTTGAATCCTTGAAAGATGCACTGGACTTTCCCTGAGAAAAAAAAATCCAAGAAAACCAACCCCATTAGCTTCTTAGGCGTTAACAACAAAGAAGAAACTTTTCTCAGAACAAAGTAACTGATAAAAGCAAAAACCTCTTTGGGAACCGAGAAAGCAGAGGAAACCACAGAAGCAGCCTGAAGAGCCATTGACACTGGCAAAGTAAAGCTTCTTGACTACTTTGAATTGGGTTTTCTTTTTTCTGAACTTTCTCACAAGTGGAGAAGATAGTGAAGAAGATAGTGTGGTGGGGTGAGCAGAGTGAAGCTGAGCTCAAGTACTTGAAAAGGAAACACCAGTTTGTATTTATACAGAGTGGTTTTGGCACTTGGCAAGACACTAAAATAGTATATTTGGGATATGAGTGGCAGAGAGGATAAGATAATTTGCAGCATGTGAGTCTGCCACATCAATTTCAAGCAACCAATGAGGTTGTGAGATTTGGATTTCCTTTGATATTTCTCTTAATATCTTTTCCTTGTTTTTGAAACAGGGGATTATAGGAATGGATATGTTTTTGGTCTTTTTTCACCAGAGTGTTCCACCACTCCTAATCCTATGTGTTATGGGCTGTGCCTGCAAAGAGAAAGTGTCGTAAAAAAGGACAGAGAGTTGTGGGTTTAGAGGCAGAGCTGACAGGTTTGCTCTGGAGGCTGCCTCAATTTTCTGGATTTATTGGATATTATGACAAGTTGGAATTGGCGGGGCTTTTTTTCAAGCCCATCTCTTACCCAAGAAAAGAATGGCCCAAGGAGCAGAGACAGAGAACTTGTTCCATTGTTTTCCTCTTTTTTTGATCCACAAATTGTTGCTTCTCCTATATGATTGTCAAAGATTTGTGCTTTATCAGGTTTTCTATTTGTTGTTACTTGTAAATTGGGTAACGTCCATTCAGTTCCGTCTAAGAAACTATTATCTCAAAACATTCAAAATAAAATAAAGTCAAAATAGAAAGGTGCACTACTCAAAGCTTTTATCGGTTTCAAACTACAGTTTTGGGATCTCCTCCATTCAAAATATACTAAAATTAGAAGGTAAAGCTTTCATTAACCTCCTCCCTAATAGGAGGCACTGAAGCACAAAAATGCTCTCCTCCCTTGCGTTATTAACTCCGTAAAGCATGCATCATCTGCAAACATATATATGTTGCATAGCAGCATCCACATATGATTATTGCAGCTCCAGCTTTGATGGTGGGAAGGTGTCCACTGTGAAATCTTCATGTTTGGATTGATGGGGGCATCAAATTTGCAGACAAAGCTGAGCTTGGTCTTTCAAACTTGCCGCTGCTTCATTATAAGGTAAGAATTCCATGCAAGCTCAATCCTTTCAATCCTTTATCAGGTAAGACCTCGTCCTTGAGTCTAGAAATGCTTGCCTAATCCTTTACAGCCTTTGTCCTTTGTATACTATTTTCCTGTTGATCGAATAAATTTCTATTGCCCCTTATTTAACAAAAGAGAAAAAAGAAATCCATACAAGCTCAAGAAATTTGAATTATTTAGTGCTAGCCTTCAGAAATTTAGGATGTTGAACATTCTTATTTTTTAGTGTAAATAGCTTAATTGAAATTTTATTCCTCCAAAGCCAAGTGTCATTATAATATAAAATTACGAGGTAGAGAGGCAGAAAAGAAAATCAAAGACTAGTACACATAAACAGTAAAAAGAATTTTCATTTTAAAATTAAATAAGCTTTTCCCATCTCATAACTCTACAATTCCCGATTACAGAAATTCATCGGTTTCTAAATTCACGGTGTAGTTTTTCTTTTTCTTTTTTCAATTTTTTTTTTCAACAAATCTATTTTCTTTCTTCTTGTCCGATCGGACTGGCTCTCCAACTGAACTCCACATCCGATAGGCACAACAAGCACAAGGGTAACAAATGGAACGCTCTAATATTACAAATCTCACCAAATCTCTCTCTCTCTATACACATTTGCCAATAGGGAAAATGGACTGGCTCCTTTGTAGCATTATCAACTCAACTTCCCCAGGATCAAGGGTCCCAATTATTTGGCTCCTTAAATCCGAATCGGCAATCCAAAATTTTGGAAAGTTCTAATTTCACCTCGAAGGCCAGCAGTTACAATCACCATACCCCAGGCTGTCATGTTTGGGCTAAAACCATTCGTAAAATCAAAACTAACACGCGGGCTTCGGTTCCTAGTAGCTAGAAGTAGTTTCTCCTCGGGCCATGTTGCCGAAATTCTATCAAAGAAGTAAGTGTTGGATGCACTCGAAATGGTTCCATGAAGAGGGCTATTGGTGCAACCAGATGCCGAACGTGAACCCTCATTGCCATTAGCCACCTCGACAGGCGTAGGGGGATGGTTGGCTGTGGAGACCTCATCAAGATTGTTGTCAAGCCCATTTTGTTCTGCATCTTGTAATCCCCATGAATCGCCCACTCCAGGCCAAGGGATGGCCACTGATACATCTTGGCAATGGAAATGCTCATAGGAGCGTGTGACGGTAACGCTTTTGCTTCTGCTAGGTCGGGAATCAGCTTCATGTTTCCATATATATACATGAGAATCCTCACTAGCAGATACCACATATTTACCATTTGCTGTGAGGGTGGCTGAGATTTGACTATTTGCGTTACGAAATCCTGTAAAATAAGACCAAGTCACCCTATGAAAAACGCAAACCTCTAAGATGCAAGCGCTGATGGATCTAGCAGGCAAAGCATTATCGTGCACCTATTGCCTAGAAAACACATCTCTCTGCTCCATTATATTATCTTGTTACTGAACATGCACTCAACTGGGTAACAAACCAAAGTTGAAGAAAAATATAATACCAGCAATTTGACACCATTTATAGCGCTTCCATTCCCGAGAAAAGTCATGGAAGTAAAGAAACACAAAGCATAAAGTTTTGGTAACACCATTGGCTTAAGAAACTATACCAGATTAGAGGGGCAAAAATTCATATATCATACAATTTGAAATAGCTAAAATAACAAATGACAAAAATCATAGAACAACATGTGCTTACCCTTGAACTTGTGAACCAGATCAATACTATCAACAACCCTGATTCGTGAATCCGCAGATGTGATGAGTACTTCTGATGAACTTCCGGGTGCAAACTATCAAATGAGACTAATTAGCAACCGAAAAGAATCCATAAAACGTGCCACTCAAATAATCAAAGAATAAACATACAAGATGGAAAAAAGCCAAGTTGTAATGGTAAGAAGGGAATAAGGATCAGCACCCTTTATTGTCGTGGCTAAAAGTATCATCTGAACAGAGTAAAAGGGATCAAGCCAATTATTACCTGAAAACCCGTGATTTTCTTCTGATGAGATTTCTTTTTCTTGTTCTGCAAATTAATTTGGCTCTTCTGTTGCAACTTATTCTCTGAAAAAGTTGGAAACATTTATTAGTCGAGCGTGCTACAAACACAGAGAGGGAGAGAGAGAGGGAGAGAGAGAGAGAGAGCAACTTGTACCGGATGTGTTGTATAAACGACAGCTCCCTTTGTATGAACCAACTAGGGCACCCTTCAAATATCAACACAAATGTCTTGAGATATGAACGATAATTAAAAATTACATAAAGACGGCACAAAAGATACGGCCTAACCTGACCATCAGGAGTGTAGCAAGCAGCTGTGACCATCTCATGCAGATCATTCCAATCAACCACTTGGCGATCAGGGATGCTCCATATGCGAACCTTAGCATCAAGTGATCCACTAATGAAGTATCTATCATCAACAGGGTTAAACTGGATGCAAGTTACTGCATCAAGGCACATGCAAAATAGAGTTATTAGAAACAAATGATAAGAGATGGGGAGAGATATGCATATCTCTTGCAGATTTATACTATTCTCTTTCAGAAAATATGTTAAACCACCAAACTATAAGAAATCGGATAAACACACTTAAGGAAGAATTCAAAACAAAATTTCTTGGCAAGATTAACAAATACCCTTCCCACCCCTTACCACATGAGCCCAAAATGAAATAGTCATACTCAATATTAGACATGAAACTCCTTTTCCTTGACATCAAATGTAAGTACTTGAATTTTCAGTGGTTTTATAACCCTTGAAGGAAGCCGTGTGCACATTAGTGCCCTTTTATGCAACAGTTGTTCAGGTAGGAGCCAAACAAAATGGTAGAGTAATAGCTGAACGCAGGCCAAATATACTTACCATAGTCACTATGTGAAAATATCTTCAAACAAGTCTTGGTAGATAAATGCCACAGGCGCACAGTTTTGTCCATTGAAGATGAGAGCAGGTGCTGGAGAAAAGGAAAGGAAAAAAATCTTACTTAGGCATTCTGCAAAAGGAAAAAATTGGCGAGAATAAAAAAAAACTATCCACATTATTTCCATCACACTCTTCACACCATTTAAATGAATCTGCGTCTATCTTTCTACACATATTATTAAGGAAAGACTTATTTACAAAAACATATCCTAAAAGAAATTTTATATTTGGTAAAGTGAAGAAAAAGGGCACGCATAAGTCAATAAGGTTTTGAGGGATTTTCTTGACCAGAAGATGTTTAGGGTTATATTTTGAAATTTTGAGTATTCTCAAAATAATCAAAAGTTAGAGATGAAAATAAATAAAAAGTGGCTCACATAAAAACTATGCTACTCTATCTAAATACTGATAACGCCATTTCCTCCAGTCATCCTTTTATTATTAAACAATTGCTAAATTGAATGATTACAGCCAATTCCCTCTGCCTGCCCTTTGGATCCACTAAAACACCCTTACCAAAAGCCAGTGAACAGAAACGTGCATTGTTTTAATTTCCACGCATGACTAAAAAATAATAGTAATGGCATATCCAAGACTTGAACTTATTGAGGATCCTACGAACATAAGCAACCATCACACCACTTATCTGTGACAGAGTTTATTTCAACCTTAGATCCTCCTACCCTTTATTACTCTGATTTTGATGATTCCATTGAAAAGTAATCATGAATACATCCTTATACACTTCAAATTTAAAATAATGTTGTTCGAAAATCTCAAGAAAGCAATTGTCCAAGTTCAAATACAGATAAAGAGAGACACGAGCAATCAAATATTTATACTATGGAAGTGCCTAGAATTAGGGAAATAAACAGCACATATACTAGAGAAAGGATAGTTCCAGAATCAGATAACATATGCACCAGCATCGGATAATTCCTGAGCCAGATCAATGGTCCTTCCATAAATTTCTACTGTGGCATTTTATCAGACCTCCTATTGACTTATCCAAATATGGTAAAAGGTATCAATGATTTATTGTCTCTGTGTTCCTAGAAACTTAACAGAGCAGCTTCACCAATTTCAAGGTGCACATAACAAAACCTAGAAGGTGTATTCATAACGAAAACCTACGCATTTTAAAGTTCCTCTCTGTTAAATGTCAATTGAAAACAAAAGAGAAAACTATCTACAGTATTTGAATGTCCCACTATGCAACAAAATATGTACCTTCAGTAAAACCTATCCTCTTGGACCCTTCATATGACTCAATTCATATATCCCTCTCCATGTGTATCTAGTGACTCATAACGAAAAGAAAGACAAAAACCTAGGCTACAAAGTAGTAAGGAAGGTCAGTCAGATTGCTTTGGATACACAAAGTTAATGGTGTCCTTGGATCATATGAAATAGAAACAAACATCCATTTAAAATCCACCCAACATTTGGCATCAAGAAACATCAAGGGATCAAGCAAATAATGTAAAGGCGCAGAAGGAGAAATTAAAACAAACTCCTACAATATCAGAACAGTAACTAACCTGAGACTTGGACCAAGAGAGGTCGAGCACATCATCAAGATGCCCTTGGAATGAAGAAATGGGTTTTTCTGAAAGTGCAAACACAGTCTCTGGAATCACATAATGGTCCACACTCAACGATTTTCGACTGATTGACGACCTCCCTCTCCTCTTCTTTTCAACATGGTTGTCCACATTCGGCGAGACTGAAGATGGTTCTGGTGACCCATTGGAAAATAACAAGTTGAAATTGCTATCTTCTGATTTCTCCATCAACAGGTCACCCTTCCTCTCACTCTCCATTACTTTCCAAACATGGATCACACAATCCTCACCAGCACTGGCCAAATACTTCCCATCCAAACTAAACTTAATACTCCAAATAGACCCATTATGCGCTTGAATCTCCTGACTCTTGTACATTGCAGTGAGCTCTTTACATGATTTCCCGTACTGCCTCACCCTCACCCTCTCCGGCCCATGAAAGGACACATCCTGGCTGTCGTCCGTGGCGGAGCTCGACCTCCGACCACCTTTTTCCGACGATGTGTCCCTCTCGTCACTACTCCGTCTATCCCTATGACCAGTCATGGTACTTGCAACACTCTTGATGCTCTTAAACCAACCCCCTCTCTTCTTCAACTTTGAAACTCCACCATTGCCCCCGTTGGCATTGGACTCCAAACCATCCTTATGACCCTCCTCCACATTCTGCCTCCTCATGAGTTCTTGAACAATTGGTGAATGACCAACACTCATCTCAAACTCCTCCATGGTCAACTGCTTCCCAGTCCCTACTTCCTTCAGCTTGTTCCACATACCATCTTCCCTAATCTCATTCACAACAAACTCTTTCCCATTGTCAAGGTTCCTAATAGTACAAACTTGGGCATTGGCATTGCCATCAGTAACCTTAACAATCCCATTACAATCCAAGTCCTCATCAACCTTGGAATCGCTTCGAATCTCGTCTGCCCTTCTGGAATTTTTCCCGGAAGGCGGCTTATTCGGTGGAGATGAGTTGCTTTTACCGCTTGAAGACTTCAAAACGCAATTTTTTGAATTTCTATTTACAAAATAACCGGTTTCGGGTTCAGGCTCGGTCTCAGCCTCACCCGAAGCACAACGAATCGAAAGAATTGGAGGAGAAGAAATAGATGAAGTAGAACAAGCGTTATTACACTGGTCGCCGCCGTCGGATTTCGAACGGACGATGCCATTAACGCCTCCACCACCAGAACTCAGTTGACTGATCAAATAGTCCGACGACACCGACCGCCCGAAGTCGCCGGCGTTACCAAGATGGGGCTTGGCCCGGGTAAGAACCGGGTCGCCGGTGAGACCCATTTCGCTGAGAAGTTTAGAACGGCGTTCGGAGACGGAGGAAGGCTCGGAGATCCAAACGTCGTATTTGATGGAGGCGCCCATTGGGAATTTGGGTACTGCATAATTCGGGTTCGGGTCGGACTCGGTGTCGGAGCCGGAGTTGGAAGTGGAGCAGGAGCAAGAGGAGGAGACAATGCGATCGAGAGACTCGTAGAAGCACTCGGTGTCTTCGTCTTCTTCCCCTCGGGCTTTGCTCATCGTTTACTGGGCATTCCCATTTGGTAATGAAAATGCCCGAGAAATTTCGCCGACGCCGATCGGATCCGACCCGGGCGCGGCCGAAACGGTGGCGTTTTGATGATGGTTTGGAAAATTGGCCGATTTGTTTTTGGTTTCAGAGAAAGTGGGGTGGGAATTTGATGGGATCGGACAAGAAACGGGTGTGGAAGTGTGTGGGTTTCGGGTTGGTGAATCAGATCCGATAACGGGCAGAGAGAGAGAGAGAGAGAGAGAGAGAGAGCGGGGAACAAAGCCCTATGCTGCTTGGGGTTGTTTGGGTTGGGGCTTGAGCAATGTTGTTGTTGTTGTTGTTGTTGTTGTGTGTGTATCAGTGTATGTAGAGAGAGAGAGAGAGAGAGAGAGAGAGAGAGAGAGGGATGGGATTTTCTTGTTTGTGTTTCTATTAAAAAGGAAAATGGGTGACAAAGTGGGAAAGGAAACGTTTGGCTTTAGACTTTTGATTTTAATTCTTAAGATTTGAGGGTTGGAAATAAAAATTTGGGGCTGGAAAAATAGTTGGATTTTCGTGTGTTAAGGGACTTTTGAAAATTTTCTATATATGTATTAACAAAAAAACAAATTTTAGTTTTCAATTTGTTTTAGTGTGATATTATTGTCACTCTGCAAACGATTCATCTTAGGGTTTAGGAATATTCGTGTAACAAGAAAATAACTACATTCTCTCTTTTTTCCTTTTTATTTAGAACTTCTCAATATTTTCTTCATCGAAGAGGAGAGGATATTCAAAATTAAAACTTTTTCTTATGAATATAATACGTGCGGGTTTAATTTCTTCGAAGATTTGAATTCTCTTTTGGATAGTAAGGTTTAACTTTCTTCATGTTCTTTGATTTAGGTTTGAAAATCTTCAACAGCAAAAAAGAAGAAGGGAAGTTTGAAACTGCTAATTGTGCTTCAATCCCTAAATAGTGGAGAAAATTGACAATCAAAACATTCCAAAAAAAACTTGCTTTAAAATGTAATCCAACTATCTTTTTATGATTTGATTTACATCCAATTAATATGAAGGATGGATGCCGTAGAAAATGTAATGAAAAGGTACCGTGTTTTGTTTTTTTGACCATTATGTTGAGAAAATCGCCAGCATGGACGCATGTGGAGCACCCTCTTTTTGTTAACGTCACTCCCCAATCGGAAAGCAACAAATTAAAATTGAAAAAATAAAATAAAATAGAGTGACCAATTATTTTTCCCTTTTTTTTTTTTAATTAACAATCATTTGAAATATATATACTTTTTTTTTGTATAATTTATTTTTGAAAGGGAATTCCAAATTTTGTTGCATTTTATTGGTGCATCTATGATAATAGTAAGTATGTGACTTGCACAAGCCTCATCTTCATGAGACAAGCACATGTGTTTCTGCATGAAATCGTATTCTTTGCTTTAGAACCTAACATCTCTATTATCACCCCCACTATTTCATGTCAATTATACATAAAGCTTAAAAGTACAATATTAAAAATAATTTAAAATTATCAACGAGGTCTAACCTAGTAAAAAGGGTCTTGATTTGTAGACCAGTGGTCTTAGGTTCAAACTCTCATGATACCTTGACAATGTGTGTGTGCGAGAAAACCCCCTATCCCAATATCACTTGTATCAAATAATAATAATAATAATAATTTAAAATTTACATAATAAGGAATAAAATGTGAATATCCTAAAACTTTTATTTTTTTCTCGATCACTTTTCCTAGTCTCATTTAAATCTCGAGAGATATAATCTGGATCATTGATCAAGTTGATTGTCGCTTAAATGTAGGTCAACCTTGTGCACTAAACTCACTTTCAATTAGAGATTTAGTTTCCAAAACCCATAAAGAAGATGTAATGTTTTGGTGTAATTTACACTGTACAAAATCGAACATGGTACTGTAGATGGAGATGGGAGGGAAAAGTAAAAATTGGAAGATGATGGTGATGTTACCCAAACTTTCCAAAAGGAGTTTACCTCTAGTCCCGGGCTAGGCTATATGGGCCTAAATAATACATACATCACAACAGCAAGCCCAGTAAATTGAATGCTGGAGGAGCAGTACAAATTTCTACAGCCTATTCATAGCCGACTGCTTGCCATTCATCTCACCTGTCACATGCTGTCCAGCCCATTACTGTTAAGTGAAGGTGACAACAACCCTAATGCCTTTCCTACTTGCTTCAACTGCTTTTGGGACCAACTAATTCACTCATAACAATTCTTTTGACACAGGGCAGGGACCGTAAGTATATTAATGTCTGCCAGTTTTCATTTGACACATTCTGTGTCCTTCTCTTTATGCTGCTGGTAGGTGGACATTTTTGAGCATTCACACCAAAATCCCGAGCATCATACATACATTAGGTCAAATCCGCCGAGAGATCGAATTGAAAACCATGTATCGTATTTACTAATTATATTACTGATTGCAGTCTATAAAATAGAGTGGCATTTATTTGCAGAGGCATGTGATCAGCAATATGGTCGAAATAATTTTCTTGGTTCTTTAAACCTCTCACTAATTAAATTCATACAATGTTTGGTGAAACTTGCAATCTTTGATATCATAAACAATTTGAGGTCCTTGACCACGAAACCTCATGAGAGTCATGACAAATCTTAAGTTTCTTAAAACTTAAATAGGGACAGGACCCATATATTATACAAAATCAAATCATTACTTGTAGGGAAGTTTTATCCCATTTGACTTTTTGCAGAAAGTGGGTGGTGAGTGAGGTGTCATTTAGACAGCAATAACAGGAAAGGGTATAGGAAAAGAGCATGCTACAAATTATATGGTAGTGTTTAGGTCTTAGGCCTTTTTTTTTCATAGAGCCAGATTCAAACTAGGGTTTGCAACTTGCAATGCAAGTCTAAGCCTATATGGTGAAGTAGGCTGAAGATTAAATTGTCAACACACAACGAAAAGGAAACGAGCCATTTCTATGTCTATTTATCACCCACCTCTTCTTCAATCACGTGTTGCTTGCAGGTGTATAGAGCTTTTTAACCTATATTTTACAGAGCAGTGGGTGGGTTGGTGGTTTGTCGAAGACGATATGCCTATCTATCTCCCTCCCCCATAACCTATGAGCTATGACATCAATGAGGATCCTATACATGGAAAAAAATTATCCGTTCTTGAAGACATTATTTGGGTATACTTATTTAAAGCTTTTCATGAAAAGGTAATTACACAAAAATAGGTATTTTTTATTAGATTGCGACCCCGTGCTTGTAATATGTGATTGAGATTAAAAGTTCAAGAATATCAAGACAAATAAAGAATAGTGTGATACTGTAATCTGAATGCAGTCAAATATTACAGATATTATGACAATCTTTAACCGTGTCATCTATTCATATTATAAAATTTTGACGAATTATTTCATGTATCGATATTTTAATACTATATAATAATTTCTCCGATTGAGGGTTGGGACACTTTGGCTTCTTCCTTTTCCATAAAGAAAAATAGTCTAACTTTATATGATTTTTTACTCCAACCTGGATAGTCAAAGTCCTAAAGAACTAGGCTGTGTTGTCTCGTATAGTATACCTTGATAGCCGAGCTTTACATCCAAACATGCCGATGGTTTCCTTGTTTGTTAGGCTATGCATCTAATTGGATTATTAAGACTAAAATATAGTAAAGCAAACTTGAGCAATACAATTCTATTTCCAGCTAAAAAAGACATTGACCTGTTCCCAAACAATGCATTACAACTCATTCTTGCATATGAAGCTTGGGGAGCTCGTGTGACAGCTTAAGATTAAAAAAAACATGGGGATGGGAAGATACCAAGAAAGGGTTTTGGGCGGTGGCCGGCCCAGACCACCACCTCAGATTATAAACCAGATCAACTGTGCTTAGGAAATGTTTGAGACAGACAGAGAGTTGGTTTGTATTAATAGACCATTCAGATTAATTTAATGTAGAATACATGGTTAGCATATGATGGCATTCCTCAATATGGGCCTCCTTTGGTCTTTGTATTTGATTCAAATCAGTAATAAAAATTTAGTTGATGCCTATGAAATAAAGACATATAGGCACACTATGTGACATGCTCACGTGAAGATTATTGAAGAATAATGGCTAATGTTAGCATGATATACATTATCGACTCATTTCTTGAAAATTTTATTAAATTTTTGGGATCTAACGGTTGTCTAACACGATATGAGTACATTCTGGCCATAGATTACATCTCTTCTGCATGAATATGTTTGTCTCTTCAAGTATAGAACGAGACTAAACGTGATAGAAAGCATTAACTTGATATACATTATTGGGTCATTACACCACCCTAGTGAATTTTCAATGAGATCATAAGCTCCTCCTCATACGTAAGTAGTTGAACCAAATTTTGACATTAATAAACTTAATTGGATACTATCTTAAGAAGTAAAACCTATTGACTTGAGCTATACATATCAGTCTCCATGGGACATTTGGTGGTTAACTCGTCCACGTAGTTTTGGTAGACAAATTGAGAGTTTGCGGTTTAAACTTACTTCCCCCGAACGAAACCAAAAAAATAGAGAAGAATCAAATCAACCCAAGCGATGATATGGTTGACCAAACATGGAAAGTACCAAATTATTATTATTATTATGGTGATGTTTGTGTAACGATAACGAACCCCCGGACAGTTGGACAAGACTTGCGCGTAAAGCTAAAAGTGAGGCTTGGTACTTGTCAAAATGATAGCCTAAAGGATCTTGGTGCTTTGTCATGGAGGGCCAAGCAAAAACAAAAGCAGAGATATCCTCTCTTCTCACCAACCTGGTGCTCCACTCTCTCTTTGATTAAAGTTTTTTTTATAGCAAAACTATGATCCTGTTCACCTTTCAATTCTCATCTTTCAAAAGCACGTTGAGGAGCTTCTGCTGGGCACTGGGCAAGCATGTTTCAGACATTACTTTATACTTCAAAAGAAATCCACTTCATTCCCTAATGGACTTCTACTATTAG